GGTTGGTTCGAAAAGGACAGCAAGTGGTCCAACCTGCTCGGCGGGAGTTTCGACTTCGAGGAAAAACAACGACGGGTGTGACGAAATGCGGCAACACAATGCATCGTTTATTATCTACATAAGAATTATCATAAGGGGGCGGAGGGAGGTTATCATCTACTGGGACTGGCGCAATCACATTCCTCGTCCTCGTTATCCTCAACATCACTGTCCGCGAAGTCTTCGGAGGGGACAGTCGCGTCGACCGAGTTTGTAGAGGTCAAGTTCGAACAGATGGTTTCAAAGATTTTAACGTCGTCTGCGGAGAAGTAGGTTTGAACAGTGCGGGGATCGGTGGCTAATTCTGCCTCCTCCCCTTTCAACTCCTCCTCCAAACCGCAACTCTGGAGCCAATGGGAGAAGCGTGCCGGAGGACAGGAAAGTAGTTGACTGACTATCTTGTCACGAGAGGCTTGCATACGAATTCGAAATAAATAAAAATACGGATTAAGGAGAAGGGTAGAGAGGGAGACAGAGGGGGAGAGAGAAATGGGAAAATAAATTTAAATTTCTAGGAAAGTCCTGCTTGTGTCTCCATTAGTTGCAGTCCATAACCACAATATATGTCATAATTATATACATTAGGTGACATATATGATGAAAGGTTTAGGAGTGGGGGATTTAACACAAAATTGAGGTCGTTTATGAAGTTCAATGGGTTGGCTTGAGGCGCAAAATGCCGTTTACTAGAATTGAATTCCATTCAGATCAGTACAGTTGGAGAAAATATAGGCGGAAGCGGGCGAAATTCAACCTTTGTTGATTTCCAAGGAATTTCCTATGCTATTAAGCGCTGCGGAGAAAACGATTCATATTTGGCGTGCTGAGGTGTTAAAGCACATTCATAAAGAGCAAGAACTGTTTAATCGTATGTGTTCACAAGAGAGAAAATTTTGTTTTGCATTCATGAAATTGAGGTAAGTGCAATTAGGATATTACGAATTATAGGCGGGAAATAAAATGGAAAATGTGTCCAAAAATTATGTTTAATAAATCTGTTAAGTTTAGTGCCATAAAATTAAGGAAAAACTTTTACAGCTGTAAATTGTTTTATCACATCGATATAAACGACCTTCGACAGGCATATATATACGAACATCCGCGACATGCCGTCATTTTCTCTGAATTGGCGTACGAGAACGATGCGTAAGCAATTTCTATCTGTAGTAGACCATCAAAGGATAAAAAACTTGCAGCAGACGGAGTGTCAAACAAGTCGTTATTAAGTGCTTTCGATATTAGTATGGCCACTCTTTGGCGCATTGTTAATAGCAGAACTATGCCCAGAAACAAGCAAGGTGGACGAAAACGGTCCACAAGTAAGCGGGATGACGATTTCATTCGCCGTACACTAAAAAAATATCATTATCTGCCTGTTAAGACTATTCACAGGGAACATCTGCAGATGTTATCCTTGGGGTTTTTTAGTAAAAGGATGCGGGAATTCCAACTGCACCAAGAAAAGGCCATACTAAAGCCGTTTTTAAGTAGAAAACTTATTAGAGAACGCATTATTTTTGCTAAAAAAGTATATTGAATACCGGCCCTCATTCTGGAAGAGTATTTATTTCTGTAACGAGGTCTTGTTTTTAGATAAACCTGTAAAGGCGACGCAGGTTGTTAAATGCGGAAAAAACTTTCCGAAAGAACATACTGCGCCGACATTAGTTTTCAAGAACTGTCGGAAAATAATGGTTTGGATGGCCATTAAGTTCGGCGAGCGACCTATTTGGCGGTCAACTGCGGATAGCATTAACAGCAAGGTGTTCATTAATATCGTTAAAGATGCCTTGTGTTACAACGGCATCAATCGGCGTAAAATAAACACAATTATTTTGCACGATAATGTCCCAGGCCACCGTTCAAAGGAGGTATGAATTTGATCACATTTGCAAGTGTAACATAATTTTTTAGACTACAGCCAGCCTCTCCGCGTGCGGTCTTCAGACTATTTTTATTTCAGCCAATAGCCCCGACATGAATCCAATTGAAAATTTGTTTGCAATTATCAAAAGACTTT